AAAGGGCACATGTGAACCGAGGAGTAGGTTCACTTGAAAAATCAAGTTGGTCCAGAGAGGCCCCCCCCCCCACAACCCTGAGCTTCCCTTCCCCCTTCTTCCCCTTGCTTCGCCCTTCCAGCTCCCTCCTCCTAGGTTTCCCCCTCCCCTCTACTGCCTCCTTTCCCTAGTCTCACCACAGTTTCATTCTCTTCCTCCTCCCCCCCTCCCCCGGTTTTGTTAAATAAAGAGAGTTTGTGTTCATAAAATACGTGTATTTTATTTGACATCAGGAAGGGGGGTTAGGGAAGGGTAAGTGGAAGGATTTGAATGAGGAATGAGACACAAGCCCCCAGTGGGGCAGACCAGGGAGGCGCTTAGTGCTCCTCAGGGTGGAAGCTCTCCCGCAGGGCCTCCTGGATACTGCCAGCCCCCCGATGGACCTCCCAGATGGCAGCCTGCAGAAAGTGCAGCCAGATTCACAGCAACGCGTCCAAAAGAAGCACCAGAGTGCCTAGGGGCAGCTCTGGCTCCATGTTTCAGAGTGCTGTGGTGTCCCAAGTGAGGGCAACCAGAGCATACAGGGACAAAATTCTTTGCTGTCAATCATCGAGGTAGACAATCAAGCAGGGAAACCTGAGAACTGGCTGTCCAGGGGCGGGGGGTCCCTTTAAGCTCAGAACTCAGATAGCTTCAGGCAGCTGCCCCACACAGTAAGTTCTGACCTGGTGTCCTGCTGGAACTGGTTCTGGCCAGCCTTAAATGCGATTCAGAGTCTACTCAGTGTGGATGCACTATTTCAAAATAGCAAAATGCTATTTCAAAATGCATTTTGTATGCAGGTGCGTTATTTCAAAATAAGCTATTTCAAAATAGTTATTTTGAAATAAAATATTTCGAAATAACACTGTAGTGTAGACATACCCTAAGGGGCTGTAGGACCATTAATTGTTTTTTAAATCTTTGGTATAATATATTAAGACACCTTTGCAGATTATAGTATTCTGCAAGTTCTTTGATTTCTGTTTTGACAGCTTGACAATGATATTACATTTTATATTATTTCAGGTGTTTCATAAAAGTTGTTGTCTCCTATAGATGCCAAAATAGAACAACTATTATCTTTGCAACAGGGAGCACAGGTTTTCATTATGCAAAACTAGAGTGGGTCAAATATGATTTCAAGTTTTATTTATAAGTCTAAAGTGGAAAATGAGAAATAATATGTAAACAGCCTTTTTAAACAACCACCCACCCTCACAGCTCTTTGCCAGATCACAGCCCAATTAAATCTGCCTCATCTTACATCAGATGAAGGCTTTAAAACAGATGCTGTGTAAATTGTGTTTCCTGAACTGCATCCATGAAGTTGCAGCGAACATACTTGCTCAAGTTTTCTTAGTCATCACAAACTGTCTTTAAATGCTTTTTGAGCTCTTTGAGTATTCCCCCCTCCTCCTGCTGTTCACAGTAAGTTCAAGTTCATTGTGGGTACATTGAGACAAATCACATAGAGCGAATCACATGATAGAAATCATGTGGTATTACTGTTGTCTCTCTGACTGGGTGAGCCAGGTTGGCTCGATAGAACCTATCCATCAGTTGCTTTCTGAGAGTGAGACAGAGAGAGAATTTTCTGTCCCCCCTATAAAAAAAAATCTCCTTTCATTCAAGTCCATCTTTACACAAACCTTTTGCAATAGTCACAAGAAGAGAGAAAAACAATTCCTTTTTTCCAAACCAAGTTCTCATCTTTGGAATATTTTCTGTGTCTTTTAGCTTAACAATGACATCTGCTATATTTATATAATTGTAAGCAATTTGGAAAAAGGACTGTCTTTATTTTTGTGTGCAATATGGCATTGAATACATTTCTAACACTAAACAATCCATAGAAAATCCAGAAAAATGAATTTCCTTCTATTTCTAGCCCCTAGGCCTGATCCATCTTTGGTGCAACTTGTGAAATTACCCTATTGTATTAGTTTGGAATCTGGCACACAGTGACTTACTATATTTATTATTTTCTGTAAGAACTCTGGGAACCAGCATACCTGTATTTTACATTTAGCCTCACAACTGTCCCTGAATTTTATAAGGGAACATTTATACATATGTTTCATTTTTGTGACTGAGATCTACAGGTGCTAAGGGAGAAATGTAGGATGAAGGGAATACACTACTCCCATCAGCTCTCTGAAGTCTTGATTGTGGATCTTGATGGCTGGACAGCTATTACAATTTGTTCACCCAAACTTTCATGCCTTCCTGAGACTACTTCATTTTCCCTTTTCAAAGCTAAAATGTGGTAAACTACAGTCTGAACAGCAGTTAACACATTTTTGCTCTTTTTTCCTGACAGCCCCATAAAAGAAGGAAAGCACAACCCAGTCTGTAGCCAGGCTGAAAAAAAAAAAAAAGTGAAATTCACAGAATGCTTACCAACAGTTCAACAGTGTTTACACTACAGCACTACATCAGAGGCAGCTGCACCAATGCAGCAGCAACACTGTTGTACATCTGGTGAAGACACTCTATGCTGATGGGAAAGCACTCTGCCATTAGCATAATTACACCACCTCAGTGAGAAACAGAAGCTAATCTGGCAGGAGATGTGCACAGTGCAAAAATTGTGATGTTCAGAGGGGTGCTTTTTCACACCACTGAGCAATGCACGTTTTATTGACTTTGTCTATAATGCAGATCAGCTGTTAGTCCAGCACATCAGCTGGGCAACCACTCATGGCAGTTGCCTTATAAATGCTAACAGATTCAAAATGCTTCTTGACCCTAATGGTTAATCCTTGCCTTCCCAAGGTGGAATCTGACACCTTGCTGACACAGTCACTTCTCAAGACCCAGATGGGTAGAGAGACACTAATGAAAACTTTTAAAAACTTGAGACCAACATGCAAAACCAAAGATGTATACGTAGTTCCATGCCTACATTTGTGTGCATGAAACGCCATGGTAGAAAGAAATACTACTTTCATTAGTAGTCTTTACTTTTGTGGAGTGTTATGATGTTCTTGTCCTAGAAGAATGTTAAAAAAAGTGTTAAATTGAGAGCCCTAACTTCAGCGGCTTTGCTGTTGTACTCAACTTGCTAGCTTTTTCCTGCACA